TACAGTACAAAGAATGTCAAGCAGTGAGCAAGTGAGGAAACGTGGACACAAGGCCTAAAGAAGTACAGTGCCGCTGATGATCACTAGGCGGGAGCGCCTTGGTGAAGATATCAGCAGTGTTGGCCTTCGAGTCCACGTACACAAGTCGAAGCTGACCGCGCTGCTGAAGCTCTCGAGCAAGAAAGTAGCGAAGAGCAATGTGCTTCGTCCTGTGCTCCAGTCTGTGCTCCTGACACAAGGCAAGAGCCGCCTTGTTGTCACCGTACAGAACTGGAGGAGAACTAGGCCGCTCTCCCAAGTCAGTCAGCAGGTAGGTGAGCCAGCGTAACTCCTGTGCAGCCATGGCTGTGGCGTAGATCTCAGCCTCACAACTAGAGCCGAGAACAGAGGAAGAGCGGGTGGACCGCCACGAGACAGAACCTGAGCCAAGGCTGAAGGTGTAACCCTGTGACGACCGCTGCGTAGCCAGGTCGTCCACCCAAGAGGCGTCCGAGTGACCAGTGAGGACAACTCTGTCGCGTCCTCCAAGCACCAGCCCCATGCCTGATGTACTGCACAGGTACCGCAGCACCCTCTTAGCAGCCTCCCAGTGCTCTCGCCTGTGTCTCCCAGGCGCAACGTAACGAGCAAGGATGCTAAGAGGGTACGCGAGGTCAGGTCGCGTGCAAGTCATCAGGTACATGAGGCAGCCTACAAGCTCTGGGTACGGGCCACTCGGCTCTACGGACTCGTCCGAAGGTGGAGCTGAGAGTGAGTGGCTGGTAGCCAGAGGTGTGGCCTGTGGTGAGGAGAACTGGAAGCCGAAGCGCTGAAGGACCTGCTGCACCATGTGTGACTGAGTCAGGGTGATGGTGCGACGGGCTCTGTCCCGGGTGATCTGCAAGCCAAGGTAGCTACGCAGTTCACCCAGGTCAGTGCAGGTGTGTCTCTTCTGCAGCTCCGACTTCACACGAGCGAGTGCCTCAGTGTCAGCAGTAGCAAAGACCAAGTCGTCAACGTACACGAGGATGTAGAACGGCGGCAGCGACGTGTCAGTGCGCAGAAACAGCGACGGGTCAGCAGTAGACGGCGCGAACCCAAGAGCCGCAAGAGTAGTCCTCAGTGTGTCGTGCCACTCACGTGGCGCCTGGCGGAGACCGTAGACTGGCCGGCGGAGACTCCACTGAGTACCAGGGGGAAACGACCCAGTAAAGCCAGGTGGGCGGCGCAGCCAGATCTCCTCGTGCAGGCTGCCCTGCAGGAACGCTGTGCTGAAGTCAAGAGAGTGAAGCTCGTAGTCACGCTGAGCAGCAACGTGCAGCAGAACCCGAAGAGTGGTCATCTTCGGGGTGGGGGAGAAGGTCTGGAAGAAGTCGACCCCCTGACGCTGACTGAAGCCTCTAGCAACGTAACGAGCCTTGAAGACAGGCGGAGAACCTGGCGGCCGCTTCACCCTGAAAATCCACATGCCATCGACGATGTTCGGCCCAGGAGGGGGAACCTCGTCGACGTAGGTGCCTGTGGACTTCCAGGATGCCATCTCTGCGTCCATGGCTGTCTGCCACTGAGAGGAGTAGGGACCCGAGATCGCCTCTGCGTAAGTGCGCGGAGTGGGGATGTCTAGTGCATCCGGGTCTCCCTCAGGGGCAAGCAACCAGGCCACGAGATGAGGTACAGCAGCCGCAAGAGAGTCAAAGTCCTCCTGCCTGTCCTCAAGGACGTCCGTGCCAAGAGCACACTCACCCCCGACGGACGGAGGACAGACAGACGCAGACTCTGACTCAGCGACAAGGCTAGCAGCGTAGTCTAGACGACAGGCAGCAGCAAAGTCAACCAACTCAGCGACCAGAGCAGACGCAGCCGAGGACTCAAAGGTGGGGTCAGTGACAACAGTAGCAAGGAGACGCGTGACTGTAGGGTGCTCAGCGCGATACCGGTCAGACTCAGGGTCCGGAACGGCAGGCAACGAGGACGCAGGAGGAGACGGTAGAGGGACACGCCGAGGAGCAGTAGAGGGACGCAGAGTCATGTAGTGAGTGCCTGGGACAGGAGGAGGACGCTCACGACGGACACGACTACCAGTGCGAGCAGGACGAACAGGCGACACAGGACGAGACTCAGGCTCACGACGCTCTGTAAGACCTCCTGTGGGACCAGTATAAGGAGAGGGAGCAGGGAGAGGCGAGGCAGGCGGTAACTGTGACTGCGGCTGGACAGGCGGAGGACACTCTACGGAGGGAGGAGGACAAGGAGGAGGAGCCTGCCCAAGAACCTGCTGAAGGAGCGGTACGAAGTACGGTCGCGGCCGCGCAGCGTCTCCAGAAGCAGAAGGGACTCCAGCGGCCGGGTCCTCAGCACCAGTAGGAGCTCCAGCGTCCGGGTCCACAGCACCAGCAGCAGCTCCACCGGCCGGGTCCCCAGCTCCAGCAGCAGCTCCACCAGGTGGGTCCGCAGCACCAGCAGCAGCGCCACCCCCAGAGTCGGCAGCTCCAACTCCGCTAGCACCGCCAGCGCCAGAGTCCCCAGCTCCAGCAGCTCCAGTCGCAGTGCTCCCAGAACGATCAGCTCCAGTACCCCCAACTCCAGCCGAGCCACTAGGACGGCGAAAGCGTCGGACGTACCAGTCACGAAGCTGCTGCGGTGTGAGAGACTGCTCAGCACCCCGAACCGGAGCACCCCCAGACGCAGTAACCCGAGGCTCCGTAGGCTCAGTAGCAGCACCCCCAGGCTCAGTACCCGCAGGCTCAGTACCCGCAGGCTCAGCACCCCCAGTCGCAGCACCCCCAGGCTCAGCACCCCCAGGCGGCAAACTCTCAGGCACAGTACCCTCAGCTCCAGCACCCGCAGTCCCAGCACTCCCAGGCCCCGCACCCGCAGGCTCAGCACCCCCAGGCGCAGCACCCCCAGGCTCCGTACTCTCAGGCACAGTACCCTCAGCTCCAGCACCCTCAGTCCCAGCACCTGCAGCCCCAGCACCCCCAGGCCCAGCACCCCCAGGCTCAGCACCCCCAGGCTCAGCACTCCCAGCAGCACCACCCGCAGCAGCACCTGAGTCACCTGTGACCTCGACAGGCTCAGCGACGGGAGGAGGGTCTACCTGAGAGACACCTGAAGGAGCAGGACCCTGAGGGGGAAGGGGGTCTACCGGAGGGGGACCAGGAGCAAGGAAAAGCGGCGGGGGAGGGAGGGGGGCAGTGCGGTAGGGGAAGAGACGGTAAAAAGGGACCGACTCGTCAAAGGTGACATCCTGAGAGGCGAAGACCCGGCGCGAGGTGGGGTGGTAAAACTGCCAGCCAGGCGCGTCAGGGACAAAGCCAAGGAAGACACAGGGAAGCGTGCGGGAGGAGAGCTTGTCCGCGGACGTATCGCGGACAAGGGCACGAGCACCCCACACCCAGAAGCGCGACGCATCGCCAACCTCCCCCGTCCAACGCAGTGTGGGCGAGGTCTCCGGCAAGGAGACACGGGGCCAGAGGTTGAGCTGATGCGCGGCGTACCGGACAGCAAACGGCCACAGAAAATGGGGAGCCGCCGCGTGGACCAAGGAGGTACGAGCGATCTCCATGACCAGGCCAATGCGGCGCTCAGCAACCCCATTCTGCTGTGGGGAGTCCGGAAGCGTGAAGGTCTGCTCGATGCCCTCTGCCTGACAGAAGGTCCTCAGAAGATCGGAGGAAAACTCACCACCTCTGTCAGAGTGCAGACGCAGGACAGGAAGATCCGTCCGGAAACGGCGGCGGAGCTGGAGACGAACCGTGCGGATCCAAGGGATCAGAACAGCAGGGACCTCACCCTTGGTGCGCAAGGGGAAGACCGTGGTGTAACGCGAGTAGTCGTCAACAACCAGCAGAAAGTACCGCTCACCGCCCTGACCACGAACGCGGGCTGGGCCCCACACGTCCAGGTGGAGGGTCTCCAGAGGAGCCTCTGTCGGGGGGAACGAGGAGGAGTGAGGAGCGGCGCGCTGCCGCCCCTCGACGCAAGGAAGGCAAGGCGGCGCAGGCGAGGCAGGGAGGGGAGGGAGGGACCTGGGAAGACCGGACACAAGGAGGCGACGGTGCATGCCACGAAGGCGTGGCAAGGAGGGGTGACCCAGGCGGTGGTGCCAGAGAAGAGTCTGGTGCGACAGGGAACGACACTCACAGGCGTGGGCCACCAGACCTGACGCAGACACCTGACCGACAGCAGCTACCTGGGGAGACGCAGTGGTCAGTGTGTAGAGACTCGACCCCGGCCGACGGGTGAACGTAGCCAGGTGACGGCCAGTCCTGGAGCACGTGCAGATCGCCACACGCTGTCCGCCAGGGGTAAAGGTGTCAACCCACTGATCCTGGAGGACAGCGTTGCTCACCAGGTTCGTCGAGAACGAGGGGAGGTGGAAACCCGACAACGAGCCAGACGGAACCGCCGGACAAGGGAGGACAGTGGTGGACTGGGCAAGGACTGGGCCCCCAGAGGGGTCAGCCAAGGAGACTGGGACCGGTGCAGGAAGCGGTGTGAGCTCAGTACTGTCACGAAAGAAGCAACGGGAAGCACCTGAGTCAAGGGTGAAGGTGTGACAGGCCTCAGCCGGTGCGGTACCTGAGAGAGGAGTCTGTGTGGGTGCTGTACCTGAGAGAGCAGACTCGAAACCAGCCGGGACAGCACTGGGGGGAGCAAGTACAGGGGGTACCATACCAGAGAGAGCAGACTCACTAGTACCCAGGGCAGCGGGCTCTATACCTGGGTCAGGCGGCACACACAAGTAACAGTCTCCCTCGGCACTAACAGTCAATGCATACATGGCAGCAATAATAGCATCATAGTCAAGAGCAAAGACATCAACACCAGCCCTCATGAGCTCAGCCCAGCGGGGGCGCTCAACATCCGCACCCATCTCCTCACGCCAAGCGTCGTCAAGGCGGGAGAAGCAGCGGTACGGGGTGTGGAACCTCCCACACGTCTGTCCCTTGCGGTCACCTGTGCGAATGACATAAGAACAGCGGGCACTGGCCCCCGACGTCCCACGCTGAGCAAGCCACTCACGAAGCTGCTGGGTCGTCTGGGGACGCTGCTGCTGCTGGGAGCTCTGGCCCGAGCCAGTGCCTCCACTCCGACCTCCACCGCCACCACTACCACCGCTCCGACCGGCACCGCCACCACCGCCACCACCGCCACCGCCGCCACCGCCGCCGCCGCCACTACTGCCACTGCTTCCTCCGCCGCCCCCGTCTCCACCACCGACCCCACTCCCACCAGCGCTCCCGCCACCGCTCCCTCCAGCACCGCCTCCCCCCCCACCTCCCCCACCTCCTCCCCCCCCAGCGCCACCACCACCACCCTTGCCCCCCTTGCCCTTGCCGGTGCGGCGCCTCCCACCAGGAGCAGAAGCAGCGCCAACAGACTCAGCACCAAGGAAGTCAACAGCAGCAGCAGCAGCGTAGGAGGGAGCGAGGGGAGAGGGAGAACACCCCTCAAAGATGGGGGTGCGAGGAGCGCCACGAGCAGCACCGACAGCTACAATGCTCTTTTCGGCCGCGAGCAGGTGCTCCTCTAGGAGGGCGACTGTGAGCTCAGTGGGACAGCGAGCAAGGAAGTGGTCTCGAACTGAGCGGAGGGTGTCAGGGAGACGAGTGACTATAAAGTGGAGTGTCCAGTACAGTGGAGGGGGGTTCTTAGCGCAGAACTCGGTGGGAAGGGCGGCACGCAGGCGAGCATCACTAGTGCGAAGGTGGGTGATAAGATCGGCGACTGTAGTAAAGGTGGACAGATCGGGGAACAGGTACGGCAGCATGAGGCGGCTAAGCTCGGCTGTGGCAGGCGAGGAGTAGCGAGCGACGACAGCGTCGTACAGGGCCTTAGCGGATTTGCAGTCGCCAAAATGCTCTAGCTCAGCTAACGGCAGGTGACTGCGAATGGCTAGGCGAGCAGCTGCGTCACGAGTCTGCCAGTGGGAACGAACACTAAGCTCAGCTGTGGCAGGAGGGGCAGGCGCAGCACCAGACGCGTAGTCATAGAGCGACACATGCTCCTTGCTATCGCTCAGGAGGAACAGCTGCAGGTCATCTAGCCAAGCGGTGAACCGCACAGGGCGGCCCTCAGCATCGAACGACAGCACGCGGATAGAAGCCATAGCGACAGTGTGACAGAGTAACGCAAGATGCCGCAGCAGGGGAAGGCGACAGTGCACGAAAAGAGAGCAGCGGGCGAGGCTGGCGCTACGGGCAGGCGGCGCTGCAAGCGGTCAGCGCGACGGGAGGGCGACGCTGCGAGTGGGCAGCGCGGCGGACGGGCCGGGAAGCGGGCAGCGCGGCGGGCAGGCGGCGCTGCAAGCGGGCAGCACGGCGGGCGGGCGACGCTGCGAGGCGGGCGGGCCGCGAAGCTGGCAGCGGGCGGGCGGGCGGGCTGCGAAGCGGGCAGCGGGGCGAGCGGGCTGCGATGCGGGCGGGCCGCGAAGTGGGCAGCTAGCGGGCGGGCGGGCTGCGAAGTGGGCGGGCCGCGAAGCGGGCAGCGGGGCGAGCGGGCTGCGAGGCGGGCGGGCCGCGAAGCGGGCAGCGAGCGGGCGGGCGGGCTGCGAAGTGGGCGGGCCGCGAAGCGGGCAGCGAGCGGGCGGGCTGCGTAGCGAGCGGGCCGCGAAGCGGGCAGCGAGCGAGCGGGCCGCGAAGCGGGCAGCGAGCGGGCGGGCGGGCTGCGTAGTGAGCGGGCCGCGAAGCGGGCAGCGAGCGGGCGGGCGGGCTGCGAGCGGGCGGCTCGGCGAGGGGCGCGCGAGGGCGCTAGTGAGGGGCGCGCGAGGGCGCTAGCAAAGGGGCGCGCGAGGGCGCTAACGAAGGGGCGCGCGAGGGCGCTAACGAAGGGGCGCGCGAGGGCGCTAACGAGGGTGCGCGCAAGGGCGCTAACGAGGGGCGCGCGAGGGCGCTAACGTGGGCGCACGAGGGCGCTACGAGGCTAGGGCACGGGGTAGCGTGGTAACCGCATGCGAGCGGTGGTGGGCCCTTAAAAAAAAAAACGGTCGGTAGGTCCTAGGGACCTCCTGCTCTGAATACCATGTCAGAATCACTAGGCAAGAATGATGCATTGAATGAAACAGTTGGGTACAAGTAGCAAACCCTAGTTGGGGTTGTACCCCATATTGGCTACCCCACTACAGCCTACAAGCATAATACAGTTTAACAGGTTCTGTTGCTTGGAATTATTTGGGATCATCCCTGGTTGTTCCCAGGTTGATTCCCAAGGTCCTTGCTAGCTAGAACTATTTATTCCTTCTCTGTTTGTACCTGAATATAGTCAATTGATTCATGCAAATTCCTTCCTCGCTGGAATTTTGTTTCTACGCGGTTCGACGGCGGAATGCTACCCAAGTCAACGCTAGTACGCTAGCACTCCAACGCTAGGCAAACGCTGTCCGAGCCATAACTTCGTAATGGCAGAACTTTTTGCGAGGCAACTTGGCTTATTTTAAAGCTCTTGGAGAGAGCTTCGATATAGCGAATTCTCAACTTAATCCGATCGACGGTCTGCACGACACGCTGCGCGACGTTCAAGGTACTCTTGTTATTTTGGCTCCTCTCTCTACAAACTCGGACCCGAGGATAGGGGCTGGTCTTGTGCCAGGCACCCAAGGACCCTTGGAGGTGACCCCGAGGAGAGGTTTTAAGTTTGATTAAGTCCTAATAGCTTGAGTTTATTAGGCCCTTACACCAACACAGTATCCGCACGAAGTCTGCACGACCTGCACTAGAGGCGAGCAGTACCTTGAAATGACCATAAAGATCAAAAGGTGAGCAGAGAAATAATTCCAACCAAAGCTCGACGTCCTCCTCGTCCGGCGCCAACACATCTCCGTCGACGAACTTCAATCCAGCGATCTCCAGCTGCGGCTCAATGGACTCTGTCCACGTGATCAATTCGTATCGACCCTCGAGTGGCTTAAGTACAACAATCTTGTCCAGCAAGAATTTAAAATAGCCGTACGCCGGCGCGATGCCTCCGTCTCGACCAGCCGACGCATGAGTTACCGAAGTCTGCCTAGCTCCACTCTGCTGAGGAGATGGATCTCGACTGTCGACGTTCAAGCTTCATGCTGCCGCCGAGCACTGAACTCGCGTCTGCACTCCGCCGACTCCGATGTCGGCGGCCCGAATCACTCCGCGCGTCATCCTCGTGCCTCCTTCACAACCGAATTGGTCACCACCGTCGACTTGGTTGTCGACGCCACCTTCGTTGCGTGCCAGTCGGGGAGTGGCAGGAAAACCATCCGCCTCACTACGGGTCGTTGGGTGATCGCGTGCCCATTATACGCGGGTTCCAAGGAGCAGAACGTCCACGTCCACTCCGCCGTACTCGCCAGCTGCGTGGCGTGCCTGAACATCATCTAATCGCGGCTGCAGGGTATCCTCTACACCTGCTGCGACCTCTTGGTCGACTATGGCGGTCTAGGCGGTTGCCGGCCTACAACAACTTAGGTAAATAACACAGAAGTCGGCTAATCTGAAGGTTCTAACGCAAGGCCGTCCACGCTCACCGCACCATGCGGAGAGTCACTACATACAGGGAGTGGACTATGGAGGAGGGCACGGGGTTGTTGTCAGAATCACTAGGCAAGAATGAATGCATTGAATGAAACAGTTGGGTACAAGTAGCAAACCCTAGTTGGGGTTGTACCCCATATTGGCTACCCCACTACAGCCTACAAGCATAATACAGTTTAACACACCCCCATAGGCAAAGTGGGGGAGAACAAAGGGTCACAAGACCAGTCCAGCAAAGCAAAACAAAGCCCAGGGTGGATCACAACGTCACCACACTCCGAGCACAAGTAAAGGCCACAAGGCCAGTTCACATGCAGTGCTAGATATAGTACAAGACAAGCAACACAGTGATCAAAAACCTAGCAAGTAAGCAACAAGATATATATAAAGTAAAGTACAAAGAATGTCAAGCAGTGAGCAAGTGAGGAAACGTGGACACAAGGCCTAAAGAAGTACAGTGCCGCTGATGATCACTAGGCGGGAGCGCCTTGGTGAAGATATCAGCAGTGTTGGCCTTCGAGTCCACGTACACAAGTCGAAGCTGACCGCGCTGCTGAAGCTCTCGAGCAAGAAAGTAGCGAAGAGCAATGTGCTTCGTCCTGTGCTCCAGTCTGTGCTCCTGACACAAGGCAAGAGCCGCCTTGTTGTCACCGTACAGAACTGGAGGAGAACTAGGCCGCTCTCCCAAGTCAGTCAGCAGGTAGGTGAGCCAGCGTAACTCCTGTGCAGCCATGGCTGTGGCGTAGATCTCAGCCTCACAACTAGAGCCGAGAACAGAGGAAGAGCGGGTGGACCGCCACGAGACAGAACCTGAGCCAAGGCTGAAGGTGTAACCCTGTGACGACCGCTGCGTAGCCAGGTCGTCCACCCAAGAGGCGTCCGAGTGACCAGTGAGGACAACTCTGTCGCGTCCTCCAAGCACCAGCCCCATGCCTGATGTACTGCACAGGTACCGCAGCACCCTCTTAGCAGCCTCCCAGTGCTCTCGCCTGTGTCTCCCAGGCGCAACGTAACGAGCAAGGATGCTAAGAGGGTACGCGAGGTCAGGTCGCGTGCAAGTCATCAGGTACATGAGGCAGCCTACAAGCTCTGGGTACGGGCCACTCGGCTCTACGGACTCGTCCGAAGGTGGAGCTGAGAGTGAGTGGCTGGTAGCCAGAGGTGTGGCCTGTGGTGAGGAGAACTGGAAGCCGAAGCGCTGAAGGACCTGCTGCACCATGTGTGACTGAGTCAGGGTGATGGTGCGACGGGCTCTGTCCCGGGTGATCTGCAAGCCAAGGTAGCTACGCAGTTCACCCAGGTCAGTGCAGGTGTGTCTCTTCTGCAGCTCCGACTTCACACGAGCGAGTGCCTCAGTGTCAGCAGTAGCAAAGACCAAGTCGTCAACGTACACGAGGATGTAGAACGGCGGCAGCGACGTGTCAGTGCGCAGAAACAGCGACGGGTCAGCAGTAGACGGCGCGAACCCAAGAGCCGCAAGAGTAGTCCTCAGTGTGTCGTGCCACTCACGTGGCGCCTGGCGGAGACCGTAGACTGGCCGGCGGAGACTCCACTGAGTACCAGGGGGAAACGACCCAGTAAAGCCAGGTGGGCGGCGCAGCCAGATCTCCTCGTGCAGGCTGCCCTGCAGGAACGCTGTGCTGAAGTCAAGAGAGTGAAGCTCGTAGTCACGCTGAGCAGCAACGTGCAGCAGAACCCGAAGAGTGGTCATCTTCGGGGTGGGGGAGAAGGTCTGGAAGAAGTCGACCCCCTGACGCTGACTGAAGCCTCTAGCAACGTAACGAGCCTTGAAGACAGGCGGAGAACCTGGCGGCCGCTTCACCCTGAAAATCCACATGCCATCGACGATGTTCGCCCCAGGAGGGGGAACCTCGTCGACGTAGGTGCCTGTGGACTTCCAGGATGCCATCTCTGCGTCCATGGCTGTCTGCCACTGAGAGGAGTAGGGACCCGAGATCGCCTCTGCGTAAGTGCGCGGAGTGGGGATGTCTAGTGCATCCGGGTCTCCCTCAGGGGCAAGCAACCAGGCCACGAGATGAGGTACAGCAGCCGCAAGAGAGTCAAAGTCCTCCTGCCTGTCCTCAAGGACGTCCGTGCCAAGAGCACACTCACCCCCGACGGACGGAGGACAGACAGACGCAGACTCTGACTCAGCGACAAGGCTAGCAGCGTAGTCTAGACGACAGGCAGCAGCAAAGTCAACCAACTCAGCGACCAGAGCAGACGCAGCCGAGGACTCAAAGGTGGGGTCAGTGACAACAGTAGCAAGGAGACGCGTGACTGTAGGGTGCTCAGCGCGATACCGGTCAGACTCAGGGTCCGGAACGGCAGGCAACGAGGACGCAGGAGGAGACGGTAGAGGGACACGCCGAGGAGCAGTAGAGGGACGCAGAGTCATGTAGTGAGTGCCTGGGACAGGAGGAGGACGCTCACGACGGACACGACTACCAGTGCGAGCAGGACGAACAGGCGACACAGGACGAGACTCAGGCTCACGACGCTCTGTAAGACCTCCTGTGGGACCAGTATAAGGAGAGGGAGCAGGGAGAGGCGAGGCAGGCGGTAACTGTGACTGCGGCTGGACAGGCGGAGGACACTCTACGGAGGGAGGAGGACAAGGAGGAGGAGCCTGCCCAAGAACCTGCTGAAGGAGCGGTACGAAGTACGGTCGCGGCCGCGCAGCGTCTCCAGAAGCAGAAGGGACTCCAGCGGCCGGGTCCTCAGCACCAGTAGGAGCTCCAGCGTCCGGGTCCACAGCACCAGCAGCAGCTCCACCGGCCGGGTCCCCAGCTCCAGCAGCAGCTCCACCAGGTGGGTCCGCAGCACCAGCAGCAGCGCCACCCCCAGAGTCGGCAGCTCCAACTCCGCTAGCACCGCCAGCGCCAGAGTCCCCAGCTCCAGCAGCTCCAGTCGCAGTGCTCCCAGAACGATCAGCTCCAGTACCCCCAACTCCAGCCGAGCCACTAGGACGGCGAAAGCGTCGGACGTACCAGTCACGAAGCTGCTGCGGTGTGAGAGACTGCTCAGCACCCCGAACCGGAGCACCCCCAGACGCAGTAACCCGAGGCTCCGTAGGCTCAGTAGCAGCACCCCCAGGCTCAGTACCCGCAGGCTCAGTACCCGCAGGCTCAGCACCCCCAGTCGCAGCACCCCCAGGCTCAGCACCCCCAGGCGGCAAACTCTCAGGCACAGTACCCTCAGCTCCAGCACCCGCAGTCCCAGCACTCCCAGGCCCCGCACCCGCAGGCTCAGCACCCCCAGGCGCAGCACCCCCAGGCTCCGTACTCTCAGGCACAGTACCCTCAGCTCCAGCACCCTCAGTCCCAGCACCTGCAGCCCCAGCACCCCCAGGCCCAGCACCCCCAGGCTCAGCACCCCCAGGCTCAGCACTCCCAGCAGCACCACCCGCAGCAGCACCTGAGTCACCTGTGACCTCGACAGGCTCAGCGACGGGAGGAGGGTCTACCTGAGAGACACCTGAAGGAGCAGGACCCTGAGGGGGAAGGGGGTCTACCGGAGGGGGACCAGGAGCAAGGAAAAGCGGCGGGGGAGGGAGGGGGGCAGTGCGGTAGGGGAAGAGACGGTAAAAAGGGACCGACTCGTCAAAGGTGACATCCTGAGAGGCGAAGACCCGGCGCGAGGTGGGGTGGTAAAACTGCCAGCCAGGCGCGTCAGGGACAAAGCCAAGGAAGACACAGGGAAGCGTGCGGGAGGAGAGCTTGTCCGCGGACGTATCGCGGACAAGGGCACGAGCACCCCACACCCGGAAGCGCGACGCATCGCCAACCTTCCCCGTCCAACGCAGTGTGGGCGAGGTCTCCGGCAAGGAGACACGGGGCCAGAGGTTGAGCTGATGCGCGGCGTACCGGACAGCAAACGGCCACAGAAAATGGGGAGCCGCCGCGTGGACCAAGGAGGTACGAGCGATCTCCATGACCAGGCCAATGCGGCGCTCAGCAACCCCATTCTGCTGTGGGGAGTCCGGAAGCGTGAAGGTCTGCTCGATGCCCTCTGCCTGACAGAAGGTCCTCAGAAGATCGGAGGAAAACTCACCACCTCTGTCAGAGTGCAGACGCAGGACAGGAAGATCCGTCCGGAAACGGCGGCGGAGCTGGAGACGAACCGTGCGGATCCAAGGGATCAGAACAGCAGGGACCTCACCCTTGGTGCGCAAGGGGAAGACCGTGGTGTAACGCGAGTAGTCGTCAACAACCAGCAGAAAGTACCGCTCACCGCCCTGACCACGAACGCGGGCTGGGCCCCACACGTCCAGGTGGAGGGTCTCCAGAGGAGCCTCTGTCGGGGGGAACGAGGAGGAGTGAGGAGCGGCGCGCTGCCGCCCCTCGACGCAAGGAAGGCAAGGCGGCGCAGGCGAGGCAGGGAGGGGAGGGAGGGACCTGGGAAGACCGGACACAAGGAGGCGACGGTGCATGCCACGAAGGCGTGGCAAGGAGGGGTGACCCAGGCGGTGGTGCCAGAGAAGAGTCTGGTGCGACAGGGAACGACACTCACAGGCGTGGGCCACCAGACCTGACGCAGACACCTGACCGACAGCAGCTACCTGGGGAGACGCAGTGGTCAGTGTGTAGAGACTCGACCCCGGCCGACGGGTGAACGTAGCCAGGTGACGGCCAGTCCTGGAGCACGTGCAGATCGCCACACGCTGTCCGCCAGGGGTAAAGGTGTCAACCCACTGATCCTGGAGGACAGCGTTGCTCACCAGGTTCGTCGAGAACGAGGGGAGGTGGAAACCCGACAACGAGCCAGACGGAACCGCCGGACAAGGGAGGACAGTGGTGGACTGGGCAAGGACTGGGCCCCCAGAGGGGTCAGCCAAGGAGATTGGGACCGGTGCAGGAAGCGGTGTGAGCTCAGTACTGTCACGAAAGAAGCAACGGGAAGCACCTGAGTCAAGGGTGAAGGTGTGACAGGCCTCAGCCGGTGCGGTACCTGAGAGAGGAGTCTGTGTGGGTGCTGTACCTGAGAGAGCAGACTCGAAACCAGCCGGGACAGCACTGGGGGGAGCAAGTACAGGGGGTACCATACCAGAGAGAGCAGACTCACTAGTACCCAGGGCAGCGGGCTCTATACCTGGGTCAGGCGGCACACACAAGTAACAGTCTCCCTCGGCACTAACAGTCAATGCATACATGGCAGCAATAATAGCATCATAGTCAAGAGCAAAGACATCAACACCAGCCCTCATGAGCTCAGCCCAGCGGGGGCGCTCAACATCCGCACCCATCTCCTCACGCCAAGCGTCGTCAAGGCGGGAGAAGCAGCGGTACGGGGTGTGGAACCTCCCACACGTCTGTCCCTTGCGGTCACCTGTGCGAATGACATAAGAACAGCGGGCACTGGCCCCCGACGTCCCACGCTGAGCAAGCCACTCACGAAGCTGCTGGGTCGTCTGGGGACGCTGCTGCTGCTGGGAGCTCTGGCCCGAGCCAGTGCCTCCACTCCGACCTCCACCGCCACCACTACCACCGCTCCGACCGGCACCGCCACCACCGCCACCACCGCCACCGCCGCCACCGCCGCCGCCGCCACTACTGCCACTGCTTCCTCCGCCGCCCCCGTCTCCACCACCGACCCCACTCCCACCAGCGCTCCCGCCACCGCTCCCTCCAGCACCGCCTCCCCCCCCACCTCCCCCACCTCCTCCCCCCCCAGCGCCACCACCACCACCCTTGCCCCCCTTGCCCTTGCCGGTGCGGCGCCTCCCACCAGGAGCAGAAGCAGCGCCAACAGACTCAGCACCAAGGAAGTCAACAGCAGCAGCAGCAGCGTAGGAGGGAGCGAGGGGAGAGGGAGAACACCCCTCAAAGATGGGGGTGCGAGGAGCGCCACGAGCAGCACCGACAGCTACAATGCTCTTTTCGGCCGCGAGCAGGTGCTCCTCTAGGAGGGCGACTGTGAGCTCAGTGGGACAGCGAGCAAGGAAGTGGTCTCGAACTGAGCGGAGGGTGTCAGGGAGACGAGTGACTATAAAGTGGAGTGTCCAGTACAGTGGAGGGGGGTTCTTAGCGCAGAACTCGGTGGGAAGGGCGGCACGCAGGCGAGCATCACTAGTGCGAAGGTGGGTGATAAGATCGGCGACTGTAGTAAAGGTGGACAGATCGGGGAACAGGTACGGCAGCATGAGGCGGCTAAGCTCGGCTGTGGCAGGCGAGGAGTAGCGAGCGACGACAGCGTCGTACAGGGCCTTAGCGGATTTGCAGTCGCCAAAATGCTCTAGCTCAGCTAACGGCAGGTGACTGCGAATGGCTAGGCGAGCAGCTGCGTCACGAGTCTGCCAGTGGGAACGAACACTAAGCTCAGCTGTGGCAGGAGGGGCAGGCGCAGCACCAGACGCGTAGTCATAGAGCGACACATGCTCCTTGCTATCGCTCAGGAGGAACAGCTGCAGGTCATCTAGCCAAGCGGTGAACCGCACAGGGCGGCCCTCAGCATCGAACGACAGCACGCGGATAGAAGCCATAGCGACAGTGTGACAGAGTAACGCAAGATGCCGCAGCAGGGGAAGGCGACAGTGCACGAAAAGAGAGCAGCGGGCGAGGCTGGCGCTACGGGCAGGCGGCGCTGCAAGCGGTCAGCGCGACGGGAGGGCGACGCTGCGAGTGGGCAGCGCGGCGGACGGGTCGGGAAGCGGGCAGCGCGGCAAGCGGGCTGCGATGCGGGCGGGCCGCGAAGTGGGCAGCTAGCGGGCGGGCGGGCTGCGAAGTGGGCGGGCCGCGAAGCGGGCAGCGGGGCGAGCGGGCTGCGAGGCGGGCGGGCCGCGAAAAGGGCAGCGAGCGGGCGGGCGGGCTGCGAAGTGGGCGGGCCGCGAAGCGGGCAGCGAGCGGGCGGGCTGCGTAGCGAGCGGGCCGCGAAGCGGGCAGCGAGCGAGCGGGCCGCGAAGCGGGCAGCGAGCGGGCGGGCGGGCTGCGTAGTGAGCGGGCCGCGAAGCGGGCAGCGAGCGGGCGGGCGGGCTGCGAGCGGGCGGCTCGGCGAGGGGCGCGCGAGGGCGCTAGTGAGGGGCGCGCGAGGGCGCTAGCAAAGGGGCGCGCGAGGGCGCTAACGAAGGGGCGCGCGAGGGCGCTAACGAAGGGGCGCGCGAGGGCGCTAACGAGGGTGCGCGCGAGGGCGCTAACGAGGGGCGCGCGAGGGCGCTAACGTGGGCGCACGAGGGCGCTACGAGGCTAGGGCACGGGGTAGCGTGGTAACCGCATGCGAGCGGTGGTGGGCCCTTAAAAAAAAAAACGGTCGGTAGGTCCTAGGGACCTCCTGCTCTGAATACCATGTCAGAGTCCCAAGGCAAGAATGAATGCATTGAATGAAACAGTTGGGTACAAGTAGCAAACCCTAGTTGGGGTTGTACCCCATATTGGCTACCCCACTACAGCCTACAAGCATAATACAGTTTAACAGTTGTGTGAGTGATTGTAGTGCTCTAGTAGCATTTTTATTGCTTGCTGTGTTCACATAGAAGTTTAGCAAGAGTTTCACTAAGCAAATTGAAAAGAACAACTTGCATTGAATAGTTGATAGTACAATTGAGGCATGCAGAAACAAAAGGACCAGAAAGGCATTCAACTCCTAGCAGGCAAAATCTGTCAGCGTAGCAGAAGAGCGGCTTGCCAACGTTTCAGCAGAGTGGCCTGCCAACGTTGCACTGCGCGCGGTCTGCCAGCACTGCAGTCGCAGGTGACTATCTGCAGTCGAAGGTAACTATCTGCAATCGCAAGATGTCTATCTGCGCAGATGTGCGCACCTACCAAGTAGGTGCAGGTTGGCGGTTTCACCGTCAGGCACATTGCGCAGGTGCCAGGTAGAAAACGTGTCGTCGGTTTCGCCAGGTGCGCACCGTCGACCACATGCTGCCGTTCCGCAGGTAGAACTTCGCCGAAACCTCCTGGGAAAAAGTTTGCATGCCTCCGCAGAGTTTCGCACAACTCTGCAACTTCGGTCGATCAGCTCGACATCGCTCGGTCGAACAACTTTTGCTGAGCAGAGCTTATCAACCCGAACTCTTTGACCAGAGTTTTTCGACAAGAGCTCTTCGACCAGAAGCGTCGCGCAGAGCTCGTCGACTAGATTCCGTCGAGCAGAACTTGCTCGACCGCAACTTCCGTTAAACTGCAGAAGCCCTCCTCTTCGACCAATCCGTCAAGAACTTCCCGTCGACGGCGAGATCAACTGCGCCCAAGCGAGGGCGGGGCCTTTTTCTTCAACATGACCGTCCCTTCTCATCACGCGTTCATTTTGATTCTCCTTCCAGTTTTAAGCAAAATTGCCCAGTTGCGGGGCCAGGGCGAGATACTCCTGGTACTCTGAGTTCTTCCTGCTCGGTGCCGAAGACGCAATAGGAGGCAGTTGCAAGACCTGTCCAAGTCATGCCTTCCGTCGGCAGTGCGGCGCTTTTTGCTTCCTTGATCGCCGCCAGCTCCCTGTCGACTGTTTCAGTTCGGCTTGCTGTGGGCGTGAAGCAACTAATGCAGAGCCCGTCAGGCCCAGGTGAGAGCAGATTTGTCTGATCCACGACGAAGGCCCATATGATGAAGGCTATGTCTGATCCACGACGACCGTCTGGATGTTTCCAGAATTTTTTCGACATGTCGGCGAATTTCAGTGGGGTGAGATCAACGAGTTGGTCAGATGTGGCTTTACAGTTGGGAATATCAAAGTCGAGCACGTGGACTCCGTTGATAGACTCGTCCAAGGTATTGTCGTCGTGTTCTTGGTCGGGAGGAGCAAAGTGGAGCTCGATGTCGCGTGTGTGCGGATCAGTGGTGAACATGAATCTGTACTCAAAGAGTTGCCCTGTGGACAACAGGTTGAAAATAGATTGGGCACATAGAGCACATGCTGTCTTGTGCTTGCACGGTTGCTCGCCGTTGATTATTGTTGGCGACGGTGACGTAGATGTGACAGTGGGGGTGGTGGTCGCGTTGGAGATATATCGCGTTGACCCCACCATATGTTGCCCGCGGCAACTGTCCAGGTACCAGCTGTTGTGGTTGTCGTTGTTGCTGCAGGAGCAGTGCAAGTGACGGCGTGAAGATCGTTGCTATGTCTATTGCAAGAAATCCATTTTGTTTGGACCAGCCAAAAGGAATATGTCGTTGATCGTGGTGATGAGGAGGACTTTTTTGCAGCTGCTAGTCCTGTTCGTCCTCATCTTTATAGTAGTAGTGACTGTCGGTGGAATTATTGCAATCCATTTCGGGTTTAAATGATTTGCCGACGAGCTCCTCTTCTTCGTCAAGCGAAGTAGCTCGTGCCCGACGGCGCATCACCATAATTTCAATAATGTGTCTTGTTCCTCCCGTCTTTAGCACTTCTGTCTGCTGCTGTTGCTGTTGTGCAGGTTGACAGGGAGTTTGAGGCTGAGGTTGATGAAAGTCTTGTCGGCCGACCAAGTTGTTATGGTGAGTGGAATTGGGGTGGCGATTGTTGGACCGGAAATTGCATCGGTCCGTTGAATGTCCGAAGACTTCAACCCGGAATACGAGGAGGGGCCGGACAGGGAGAGGAGATATCGCAGCCCGGTGGGATGTGAATGGTTCCGCCGTGCGACGATGAGTTCGGTACACGGACATGGAGCCATTGATATGTGCCTTACATCGGAAGCCATATGCCCATAGCATGAGATGATGCTACACATGCTCCCGTAGCTCCGTGTTTTGCTAGGAGGCTGCTAGGGAGAGGGGGATGCGAGTGGCAGGGATTCTACTCTTCAGCGATGCGACCCATTTGACTTGGAATGGACGTCAGATGGCGCAACCCGTCTTATTCTCGCTCCTCAACACACCAGAGAAGCTTCGATGGATGCTGGGTGGTACAGAGATGGTGGCGCTGTTCCCTCCTATGCCGGCGGAGCTTAGCGCGGAGGAGAAAACAGCTGTCTTCCAGACGATGGTGAAGACCGTTTTTTTTTAAGCTGGTGGAGCTGTCCAAGCAACATAGGTATGTACAATGTCGTGCCTAAACAGGCTTTGGGTGCCAATGCGATGAGGGCGTGCCCGTGGTGGACCATGAGGGCAAGGAGTACAATGTGATCCCAATGCCGGCCACATGGGCGTGCGACCATACAGAGTCTCACTAAGTGACGTACACTATGTCCGCGACGTCGATGAAGCCATGCTTGATATGCACCATAAATCGGTGGGAGCTGGCCATCGCTGACAGGTTCGTGCCCATGCCCTTACGCACGATCTATGACCAGGGAATCGCGCTTGGTTAGATGGCTCGGGTATAACTCGGAAATAATCTAGCCTACAAGGACACGTGCACAAGAATATACTCTAATTATGTGCACTTTGACATGATCGTCCAAATTGCCTCAACCTTGTTAACCTTGGTTGAGTTTGGCCATCGCACCCAAAATCCTAGCCAATTGTGTTGCTCGCTTCAACCAAGCTTCCTAGAGTTGAAGTTCTTGACCCGCGGGTTTTAACAATGTGTTATGAGTACACCCAAAATACAACCATTACAATCCGAATTGGTCTCTCGGTTTTCTCCCCCGTCGACAGTCGCGTCGCCCCCCGCCGGAGCCCGTCGTGTCGCCCCGCGACCCGCGCGTCGCCCCCCGTCGCCCGACGCGGCCCGCGCGACCTGCGCCAGGCCCGCGCGCGGCCCGTACGGGCTGCGCCAGGCCCGCGCGCGGCCCGTACAGCCCGCGCGCGGCCCGTACGGCCTGCGCCAGGCCCGCGCGCGGCCCGGGCAGCCCGCGCGCGGTTCGTCCGGCCTGCGCCAGGCCCGTGCGCGCCCCGGGCAGCCTGTCCCAGTGCCGCATGCCGTCCCCCGAGCTTTTGACGGCGCCCCACCCCTGCTGCTGCCCGCGTTCCTGTGTTAGGGTTTGGGGGTGGAGGGTATGGGGGTGCCGTGTGTGTGAGCCGTTCCCTGCTCCTCCTCCTCCTCCGTCTCCCACTGCTGCAGCTACCGCTGAGGGGGGTGGATGTGTTGGAGCCGTCGGAGTGGTACGAGGGGGGTGGCGTGTGAGCGGTGCTAGTGGTTCAACAGGGAGTGTGTGAACGGGGTGTGGGACAGTTGGGGGAGGTTGACTGGAGGTATCCGACTCGTCGTCCGCAGCGCCTGAAGTCCAGAGAGCCACGACCCCCTGTGGCCTGAGTAGTCCGGGGCTCTGCGCCCGGTAGCTACAGTGTGAGCACTCCTGGGAGCACAGCGAGCCAGCTGCGTCTGTCGCCGTGTAGTCCGGGTTTAGCCTGGTAGCGACAGTACTACGCACTCCTGCTGCCCGTGTGTCTGCAGCTTCAGCCGTCGCCTCCCATCTTCTCGCCCCCACAGTTTCTCCTCCTCCTTACTTCAACTCTGTGCTAGCCGCTAGCTTTGCTTATAATTGTGAACTACTGCTCTGCCTGCTTGTTGTATTGATTGTACCCCACTTTGACTATGGGGGTGTGTCAGAATGTGATGGTTGTCTAGCCTGCAGTGGGGTACTCTATAGCGAGTACAACCCGAATTAGGGTTTCCTATATG